TATCAATTGAGCAATATGAAAGGGCCATATATCCTCACTGATTGATAGATGATGTGCCATCAAGTCATTGTTAACTCCTATCAACCACATATATAGATTTTCTACATGATGATGTGTCCCAAACTCAGATTTTCAGGTTTTTTCAATGGTACACCCATTACCACTGTAACTAAGTCCATCCACCTGTGAAAAACCAATAATTCAAAAGATAAAAATATTAAGTATATGTATGAATGATAAATGTATCAGTATAATCACTGATAAGCAATCCTGTGAAAAACAAATACTGTCAGAACATATTTAAAAGTGAAAAGAGGAAATGGGTGGAATTGTCCAAAAAAAAAAAAAAAAAGAGAATCTTAACTGTGGAAACATCATCAGACTTTGGAACTCCCTAGTTTTTACCTCCCTAGTCTCCCTGAAATACATGTTGAAGAAGAAACCTGGTCCAAAGACTCCAGCATGCTCATAAAATGGGCATAAGAAGTCCTTTAAGAATCAGGTCTTAAATTATCAATATTGAGGCTAGTGAGTTTTTGTGTCCTTGACATAAATTGACCCTTTCCACATATTAATGAAAAGATAAAGGACATAGAGGAGTAGGAAGAGGTCCTGTCTTTTGTTTGTGTGTGTGTGTGTGTGTGTGTGTGTGTGTGTGTGTGTGTGTGTGTGTGTGTGTGTGTGTGTGTGTGTGTGTGTGTGTGTGTGTGTGTGTGTGTGTGTGTGTGTGTGTGTGTGTGTGTGTGTGTGTGTGTGTGTATACATACATATATACACAGACACACAGACACAGACACACAGACAGACATATTGGGGGGAGGGGAGAGATAGATAAACACACTCACCTTAAACCTCCCCCATGTAAAGAATTAATTTAATGAGTTAGATCCAAACTCACTATAGTTTAGAATTGACCCACTAGAGTTTTTTGTAGAAGGAAAGCCCATTTTAAAACAATGTGCTACTCGAAACATAAAATAAATTTAAATCCAGCTCAGAACACTGGGATGATGATAAGCAAAAATAAAAATTCAAGCTTTTAACTTCTGTTACATATTCTTCTAAGTGCCCTCTTCACTTCCTTATTTTTCAGACTATAGATAATTGGGTTCAGCATGGGGGTCAAAATGCTGTACTGAATAGAAAAAAGCTCATCCAGTGTAATGGAAGAAATACTGTTGGGTTTCATGTACTGAGACATTCCTGTTGTATATAGCAAACCCACCACAATGAGATGAGAGCTACAAGTAGAGAAAGTTTTGCTTCTGCTGTCTGCAGAATGGATCTTCATGATGCTGGTGATGATGTGAATGTAGGAGACCAACGTTGGTAAGAAGGAACCAAGTCCAAAAACCAATACAGAAGATAAAAGAATCCAATTATTAAGAAAAGTGTCAGAACAAGACGCTTTCAATAATGGTGGAAGTTCACAGCTGAAGTGATTAATTTCATGAAGGCCACAAAACTGTAAGCCAAATGTGGGCACTGTGTTTATGGTTGCAAACAACAAGCCCGTTAGCCATGCTCCCAAAACCAAGTAATTGCATATTGCTTTATTCATGATCACTATGTAATGAAGTGGGTGACACACTGCAGTATATCTATCATAAGCCATTGCTGAAAGTAGGAAACACTCTGTAGTACCTAGTAGGAGGGTACAAAACATTTGAGTCATGCAGTCAGTGAAAGAAATTGTCGTTCCCTTCATGAGAAAATTCATTAACATCTTAGGAACAGTATTACAGGAGTAACAAATGTCCACAAAGGACAAATGAGACAGAAAATAAAACATGGGTGCAGAGAGAGAAGGGTCCATTCTTATGATCAGAATGATTGCGATGTTTCCTGACAGTGTAATTAGAAAAATGATTGAGAAGGTCAGGAGGAGAAAGATCTGCAGTTTAGGATCATTGGAAAGTCCAAGGAAAACAAAGTCTGGTGAATCAGTTTGGTTGTTCATTCCTGCTTATTATCTGTAAAACAACAATAAATGAACAGGCAAAGATATAGGACGAAGTCCAGCCAGTTTTAGATTATGTTAAATGCCCCCCCCCCCATTTAATTTCAACTATCTCACTATATCCAATTAAGCCATTACATAAACACTTTGGCTCCCTTCTACAACAGAAAGAAGGAACTTTGTAAAGTCACAAGATGTTGATTCATTGGCAGAAGCTTTAAGATGATAATTAATGATGATGGAGTAAACATTAAACTATAATTCAACATTAAACTTTAAGTCAAATAAGAAAATGAAGACCCCCATCAGTGTACCACATTGCTGTAACAGCTATCAAACTGTATCCTTGGAAAATGTGAGTTTTTTCTTAAAGCTTATTGGAGTTTCTAAAATGAAAAGGTGAGTAATATATCCAAATAACAGTGATTATTACTTTAGCTGTCACTGTTGAGGCTTCTCTCCAAAATGTAGTATATGAGCTACCTTAAAAATGTCTGCAAAGTTTTAGAAGTCTGTGTCAGATTCATCCAGTGAGTCAATATGAAAAAGGTTTGCACGAAAACAGAAAGTTTGAAAGGTGGCATACATGGGCAATCCGTTAATAATTGAGAGGCAGAAATTTTCTAGGCTATTAGAATTATTTTCTTAGTCAATGTTCCCTATAAATAAAATGGAAAGTGCAGATAGTTCAAGAACTGGTCACTCCAACATTATGAAGATGTTTGAAGATAGAAAAAGTTACTTGATATGGTTGCAAGAAATCAAGCAGAAGGATTATACCTACCTTTCAGAATGAATGTTTCAGCATAGAGAGAACAAAAATACCAAAGTCCAAGCTCATTTATTTACATATCTTTTTAATTAACTAAACAAGTCCTACATTGTTTCATAACAGAATACTTTGGCAGAATGTATTGTGGGTATATTATTGTCCTTCTTATATAAAGTCAGTATTCATTCCACAACCTAGAAAAAATTATTCCAGAGGGGGAAATATTCCCACTTGAAAACTCCTTGTCAACAATTATAACAGTTAGAAGGTGTATTTCCCTAACTTATGGTATGTAAACTATGGTGTATAACACACACACACACACACACACATGAACGCACATGCATGTGGGGCCATTTACATCACTTTAGCACCCTTTCTTTATTTTTTTTTAAAAATCATATTCATTATATTGATCAGCAACATTAGAGAAATTCCAGGACAGGATCTCTTTTATGCTTTTTCACAATTAACCCAAACTACCAGGTCATTGATTTTTAAGTTTCCTTACAGAAACTCATATCAAGTCATCTTATCTTCACCTTGCATCACACTTATTATAGAATTCATAACTTTACTGTAAATTTACTGTAAAATCAGAGGCAGAATATCATCTGTCTCTGGTCAAAAGAACTAAGGTTTAAAACTCAGGACACTTTTTACTGAAGAGCATTTTATGAAGAAACTAGAGAAAAAAAAATCTAGCCTAGATATAGAAAGTTAAGGCAAGTTAATAGGTTGTGGAATCCACAAGAATTTTCCACTTTTGTTCAAAATGATATTAGGAGGTTTTAAAGAAAAGATTGGGCAACTATTTGTCTGAGAAGGTATGAGGATTGCTGTACTTGGCAGTGGGTTGGATTAGATGACCTCAAATGGCCTCAAAGGTACCTTCCAACCTTATGATCATCAAAAAGTGTTATGTCAAAATATATGTCATTAAAAAAAAAAAGAGCAAGCAAAAGGAGGAAAGATAAAAATAATTGGGAGAGAAATAATATCTATAAGTGGACAAAGGAATCACCAAGGTTTTACACTTAATGCTCAGTATACTGTTAATTAGAAATTAATAATAAAAGAGTACATTAAATTATTTTACCAATATGAGCAAGTATTTAAATCTCTGAGTTGAGTGCCAAAATCCCTACTATTTGTTGTTTCAGAATACAAAGCAAACAAAGAAACTACTAAAGCATTAGAGATAAATATTAGTTTCTAACTTCCTTTTTGTCGTCTTCCGATTACTGTACAATATTTATAGATCTTTACATTCTGTCTGTGTGCTTCGGATTTTAATTCTCTAATCAGTTCTTTTTCCCCTTAAAAACCGTACTCTAGATATTTATACTGTACTTGCCTTGCTGCTGCATAATATATAGCATGTGATGATAAAAATCCTTGATGGTGCCCAATACCGTCTAAATGGTCCACTGAGTCTTAGGCTTCTTTTAACCCTGTGGTTGATTCACCACAATCAATTTCAAGTCAGATCTAACAAATTTTTGAAATTATAACCTTACCTTCTGTGAAAAAAAAGTTTAACATTGATTTTTCAAAAATAGATAGATGTCTATTTTGTATTTTCCATCATTTGTTTATTTTATAATATTGAATTACCTGACACCAAAGAAACCATGCAACCTTTTGCTCTAAGTGCTGTTCAACTGTTTATACATTATAAAGATTGTTGTAGAAATCTCTAATTCTATAAAGAACTTTTTAAAAAATGAATTCAGTTGTATGGGTCTACCCATCATTATAATTTAAGAATGTTACCGATTTGTAGGTTTTATTGTACAAATTCTGTAAGCCACCTACAGTCCAGTAGGTTTTAGATAGTAGATGAATTGCATTGTAAGTAAGTGAAATAGTAAGCTTAGAACAAAATATTCTGATTTCCTGAGGTTTCTCCTCAGCGTGAAACTGAAGATGGCATTTCATTTTACATTGTTTGAGTCCACAAAGAGAACCATCAGAACTGAAAGCAAGCCCTTCCTTCTATATGTTTCATCTGACAGTCATAGGGTAGGGCAATGGGTAACCATGTTCAGCATTACATACTTTATAACTTGAAAAATTGAGAATAGTTTATATTCAAATAGCATTTACAAAGCAAAGAGGCAGCACAGTTCTTGGGCAATCTTAAAAACATCATACAGCCTAATTTTTGGACTTCAGGATAAAAAAATAAAACAACATGCTCTGTTTTGGTTTCCATAAGTTAAAATATTTTTAAAACATTGGGAAAATCTACTACATGTTATCTTTTGAGTTTGAATATTTGAAATAATTTTTTGCTCAACAATGATATATAACAATGATCCTGCTTATCAAATGTAAGTCTGATAAATGACACAGCAATGGCATATCTATGGATCAGAATAAGCAGTTAATTAAGAAATAAGGAGTGGGTGGGAAGATGTCAAAGAATTGGCAATGCTTACTGGGGTAGGTGAAATAAAATGGCTGGGGCAATGGATACAATGGTTCTTTTGAAAGTATTAATATACCCACTTGGAAATATTCTTATTCCATAATTTGTTGAATCTAGTGAATTCTGATGAAAATGCTTCAGCAAATATATAGCCATTCTTTTAGGGGTAATTAATATGTTTATTTATCCATTTCATCATCAACCTTTAAAAATAGAATCTCAGTGGGTTAAAAAAGAAGAAGGATATAACAGTGATCACTGATAAACAACTTTGTGAAAAAGAAATATCTCTCAGAACATGCTTCAAAAGGAAAAAGAGGAAATGGCTGGAATTGTCCCAAAAAGGGAGAACTGTGACCATGGAAACTGGATCAGACTCTGAGTTTGGAACCCCCTAGACTTTACGAACTTAAATACATGTTGGAGAAGAAACCTGGTCAAAAGACTCAGGTAGACTTATAAAATGGAGACAGGAAGTCGCTGTAGGAGCAAGTCCAAAATTATCCTTCATAAAAATTGAGCCTTTTTGATGTTAATGAAGAGATCAAGAACATGCATTGAAGGGCAGCAGACCATCCTTCATAGATGGCCATGCACACAGAGAGACTCAAATGGACATACACACAAATATACACACACACTGAGTTCACACTGTTCATGAAAGTCTTCAAATGAAATTAATATGTTTAATGTGTTAGCCCCAACTTACTAAAGTAGAATAAAAGTGCTTATGTTTGTTGTGAGCAACTCAATTCCTTTTTGAAATGATGAGCCTACTCAAAACTTGACTTTCAATAACTCTAAGTTTAACTCATTAAAAGTTCCAGAAAATAAAGCAACACTGGCATGACAAAAAGAAAAAAAATGCTAGCATTTACCTTTTTGTAAATATTCTTCTAATTGCCCTCTTCACTTCCTTATTTTTCAGACTATAGATAATTGGGTTCAGCATTGGGGTCAAAATGCTGTACTGAATAGAAAAAAGCTCATCCAGTGTAATGGAAGAAATACTGTTGGGTTTCATGTACTGAGACATTCCTGTTGTATATAGCAAACCCACCACAATGAGATGAGA